GTTATAAACAGATTAAGATTACAGTTTAGGGTTTAGTTGTGATGGTAAATATAAGGGAAAAGGGCTCAGGAATGCATTATGTCAATGAGTGTCCTCACAAAGATGGAAGTTTTTGTGTGTGTTTATCCTCGGGGACAAGTTTCAGACGTTAGACCAGTTAACTGGGGACAGCTTGTCTTAGGGGGACAAAAGCTGCGTTCCCAGAGAAAAAAGATGTTTTCAGAAATTCAGCCCCAGTGTTTTCATCTGTCTCCATCAGAGTTGTCAATAAAAAGACAACAAGACAAAGAATGTGTGAAAGACGGTGAAAAAACGGGAGCAGCCTTGAGACATAAAAGTGTTGAGGTGTGTGTGTGTGTCTGTGAGAGAGAGAGAGACATTCGGATTGACAGCTTGAGAGGATGTTCTTCAAACAATAAAGAGTGTGGGGTTAATTTTTCTACAATCCTCTATTAATGGATCTCATTCACGATTGACCCAGCAGCTCACTGATGTTCTGTGTGTCTATGTGAACATTTCATCATCTGTGCATGTGTGGAGTATGTGTGTGCGCACGTATGAGGATCATTGCCTGCTGTCCCCTCTTTGAGGCCTGGTGTGTATCTGCATAGTTGGGGTTGGTTATGTACATAAATTATTCATGTATTTGATTTAATGTACAACTATAATTCATCATTAATATTTTTAATTTCTCATATATATGATAATGGGGGTGTGTGTTTGCAGGGGTGTGTTTGCGTGACCGTGCGTGACTGTGTCTCAGTGGAGAGAAAACCTGAGTGTGTAGCTATGATCTAAAGCCAGGTCAGGTGCTGGCTGCACAACTTCAGCGACACAACACACAACTTCAAGGAAAGGGAAAGAGACAGGTCAGCTGTGGCTCAGGAGTTATAGAGTATCGTCCACTAATCCAAGGGTCGGAGGTTTGATCCCTGCTACCTCCACCCTTTATTTCGAAATGTCATTGGGGAAGATACTTTCTCCTGACAGCTGTGTTGACAGTGTATGAATGGTCGGTGATGAAAAAAAAAAAAAAAAAGGCTGCGCATTCATTTGTGCGCATTATTGCAACTTGTACTGTAAGGTGCATTGAGTAGTTGATAAAACCAGAAAAGTGCGGTTTAAATACAGTCTGTTTACCATTAACTACAAGGATGAAGAGAAAAGAAACACAAACATGTATTGCTCACTTGGTAATTCATGCTTTATTTTAAGATCTCTGTCCTCATTTGTTTTTGAATGTTTGATGTTTAGAGATTCCTATAAATTACAGGTTTCTTAAATTTGGATGGAAAATTACTGTAAAATTCAGTAATTTTCAATCAAGAATGCAAGATTTCATTATCTCCTCTTGACCCATTAAAACCAGATGCGACAAATACCGTATAGACTTGGTGCTTTTCATTTAAAACAGGATGAGACGTGTGCGTCTGTGACATGTGACTGACGACATGTCATGATTCACTGAAATACTTGCAAAAAAGGCAAAATGCATTATGGGAAATGTAGGTTGTTAATTTGTTGATGCTCCTACCCCACAAAAAAATTGTTTATAGTAGCGTTTCAGACAATGGCTGACAATCTAAGCAATGGGAGCGATATTGAGGCAAATTACAGTCTAGATTGACTGATGAAAACAACGAAGTTCAGACCCAGATAATGTTCCTGACCAAGTCTCAGTCTGTAAGAGACATGTCTGACTTGGAGGGGGATCTCAGGGAGTTATATTGTTGTTGTTTTTATGTTCAAGGTTGAGGGAATTGGCAAAGATTTACAATTTACAATCCTCAGAAAACCCTCATTTTCAAAATGACCATAAGGCTTCATAAATCTTTCTCTTGTTGCAAACAGGAAAAAAATATCACGTTTTAATCATCTCACACAAATCAAAGCACACTCATTTAAGAAATTTAAAGAAGTGGATGCTGTGGTGTGAGGAAAAAGGTGTAAGGAGGGCTTGATGAAACCAGGAGGGCCTGTCAACTCTGTCAATTCCTACACAGCGGAACCTCCTGCAGGGAGGATGAAACTAAATTAAGACGTGTAAACAGGAATTTCACAGCCTGGCAATGATTGATGGAGCAAAGCGTGTAGTCTGACACACACACACACACACACATATAGGAATACATACACTAGAAATGCAGGTAAAAATAAATGCGTGTATCTTTACATATATTACACAAAGCTCCACAAACTGAATACAAAACACAAACACTTGCCCACCTCAACGTACAAAAAATAAATAAAACAAATGGGACACACTTAATGCACGTGAGCAAAATTCTGAAGCATGTGCTCAGACTTAAAGTAGCACTGCTCCACATGAACTGGTCTGAGTCCTCTTGTATTCCCCTGTGTGCCTGAGCATCCTGCCCCCCCCCACGAGAACTCCACATCATTTTGCATGTGCTAAAAAGATAGAGTGTCAAGGTGTTAAGAGGGTGAGCTGAAGAAAGTGTTGCAGAAATAGATGGGTTGTGAAATTGAGATGGAATTACATTTGAATGTTCTCGTACTCTATTTAATAGTCGAGAGGACCTGTGAGATTTGCTGTTTTTCTTTCATTTGCATCTTATTCCTCTCGTTTGCACTGTTTCCTTCACTTTCACTCTTTCAGTCGCACCTCCTGCATTCTGTTTCGTTCTGTCTCTTTTTGGTCACTCTCTGTCGCGGAAGAAATAAAACACATGCCGGTGAAACTCCTTGAAATTAAGTTAAAGTTAAACAGCATTTCAGACGTCCTAACTTGCCACTTAATGCAACTCATTATTTCAACACTGTCAGCATAACAACTTGCAGCATAAATGTATCAGTGCTATTTCAGCTGGCACGCCTCACCTAACGTTAAATTCCATTAAGTCTGAACTTAAAGCACAGCAGCTAAGAGAAGGAAAAATGGAAGAAACGCAGACTTGGGGATAGGAAATAATGTGGAAGGAGATGGGAAGAAAAGTTATGAGTGAAATGAGGATACCAGCAGAACGATAGAGGACAAAAGACAAAAGAAAAGGGAATGAGGGAGAGGTGGAGTAGGAGTTTTTAGAGAGCTTAGGCATGCAATCTAATGTGCATCTTAGGGAGGCCAGTGCTCATTTCGTATCTCCCTGAAGAGTCTTTCTTAATAAGGTAAGCAGCCAAGTCTTTAAAGTAGGAGGGAAATTAGCTATTCATCTGCACAAAAGCAAGCTGGCAGACCCTTTATTCCTGCTCTCTCAGTTGCTCTCAGTTGCTCTCTTTCTCTCTCTCTCTCTCTCACACACACACACACACACACACACACACACACACAAACTCATGTACACACACCAACCCCAAGTCAGTTGTGTATAATTCACTGTTATCCTTCCTGTCTCCTCACTCAGGGCCAGTAATCTGTGAATAGATGTTTGAAACAACACAGAAGAAGGTTGAATCCAAAACAGTTAAAAGGGGGCTTGGTTGGGGTCAGCAGTAAAACCTATGCGCCTCTAGATAAACTTGAAAAAATACCTAAATCTAAATCATGATTTTGAGCATTATTGGTAGCGATAGTATGTAGGTTTTAAACATACATTTATTCATATGTAATGGAAAGGCTGTGTGTGACATAATTATCACATATGTGTAACGTCATGAATGCCAGTGTGTGATTTTCTGCATATCTACATTGTAGTTTGATTTGCCTTTAAGTATCATAGATATCAAAAGAGGTTATTCCAGTGTGTTATTATCATAAATTGATATTTGTGAGTGCAATACTAATTCAACGCCGATCGAATGGTTGTGGATTGACATCAATGCAAATTCAATCGCTTGAGGGTAAGATTAAACATGAAATTATTACTGTACTTCCTTAACTGTCTCTGGAACCAAATTCTGGCATCGGAGGCCTGGTCTTTTTACCCCAGCTTCACAGCATCAGGAGTTGAGACATTATTGTCACTCGTCTGACACTGACAGTTCAAATCCTTCTGTGACAGTATGTGGGAAGTTTGAGATGATGTTAAGTTGAGTTCTGAGAACACAGACGCTGTGCTTTCATGGGTCGCTTCAGATCTGACTGAGTTTGATGGGACTGAGTGATGTGACCTGACAATTGAAGGAAATATGCTGGCTCTTCTCCGGAAGGGGCGAACAACACCACAATATATCAATTTATCAAGTGAAAAGAAGGGCAAATAAAATAAAGACAGGTCCCGAGAGCTGAGAAACTACCTGTGTTTAGTGTTGAAGAGAGAAGAAGATAGGAGAAAAAGGTTGATGTTCAGTCAGACTTTCATAAAGGTCCTGAAGACTCAGACACAACAAACCATAAACGTTGTCTGGAGTTTGCCTTTCACATATGAAGAAAGCAGCAGGGGATTCTCTGGTCAGACGCTTTTAAAACAAAAGAAAAATATCTGGAACTTTCAGATGAAGGTAGGTGTTTGGGTAGAGCATGAAGAGGGCAGATAATCACGTATACACATGCCTCTGCAGAGATCACTTGTTTCTTTTCACAGCACGTCAACACCGGTATTGGAATCTCTTGCTTTTTCCAAGTTAACACCACCTTCAGTGTTTTTTACGTGAATGGCATCTTTTTCAACCTGAGATCTTTGTATTCTTTTTATTTTTTTCAGCTTTGCGTCTGTCGCATGTTGTAACAACAACAACACGCCCACCCGCTTGCGGTGAATCCTCTGAATAATCTTCTGCTGTGTTTTCACATAGGCTCACTCAGACGTTATCCAGAGTTCTCACAAGAAAGGCTGGCAGGAAAATGCACGTCTGAAAGCAGCGTCACTTGCATATGTGTGTTTTTGTTTGGTGACCAAAGTTTACCATAGTCTAATCCCAGTTAATCAGTGTCAGTCTCATGAGTGTTCTGTAAACACATTTAGAGAGTCCCTTTTGTAAACCTTGTACCTGCCTGTTGTAGAGATTCAGAGCACGAACACGGCACACTCAGGTTTGTGTGAGTGAGCGCATGTCAATATGTGCAGTTCTGTGCAAGTATTTGTGAAGGAGTACTTTACCTTTCGGATATTAATCCAGTAGCCGATGATACGGTCTGTGGCCTCTGGATCTCTCTGTGTCCACTGCAGGTTGTAGGAATAGTTGTTACCTTTCAGAATCCGGACTGGGTTCGGTGTGTCATAGTAAAATTCTGCACTATACGGTTGAGCTGTGGAATAGGTGGGGAAGACAGAAGAAAACATCACAGATAAATAATAGGCTTGAGAAGTTTATAAATAAAATACAATTAAAATCTCTTGTCACTCACCAGAGACATTAAATGTGCATGTCGATGTTCCTGCAGAATTGCTGATTCGGCACTCATAAGAGCCATTGTTGGTAGGTTCAAGCTTGAACTTCAGTTCCGGAGTCTCCTTCAGGTCCGGCATGGGCATGCGGATGAAATCGCCATTACGGTACCAGCGAATGTCTGTCAGACGCGGCGGATTGGACCGCAGCACCGTACACCTCAGAGTCACCATCTGATAGTTCCGAGCACGCACGTCCTGGAATACTGGGTCCAAAATGGGTGGAACTGCAGGAAAAACAGAACTCAGGATATTAGGGATACTTACTTTGTGATTAAGGATGGTGATGAGGTGCATCCATGTAAAAACTCCATTATCCATAATCAGTTTTTATTTTTAAACTTATCTCCATGAATAAGGGAAAGAGGGAGAAAAAACTAAAGCAGATAATCCTGAGAGGGAACTGTGAAATGGACATAAATCACCATCATCCAAGTCTCATTCCATCTGCTTTGACATATTTTTGTTCTCTGCGGCACAAATTCCCTCACATCATCAGAAAACATCGGCTTCCACAAATCTTCTGATACAGAACAACTGTCGTTGCCACGAGAGATCAGCCGTTTCTACGAGGCACGCGGCCGTCCCCAGCGCTATAACCAATACTAACCAGCTCTAATTAACCTGTCAGCAGCGGTGTGTGTTTCAGAGGTTAATGACTGACTAGATGCTGTTACCCTGGGATCAGCCATGACACAACACTGCCAAATTACTCCGTCACAAATCACCAGCCAGCAAGATCACCCTTGGCTTATCACGGAGATAATACACAAGATGCTTATGGTGTTGCTGTAGTAATGGTGATAGGATCTGGTGTTAAAGCCCCTGGAGGTGAGGCATGATGACTCCAGTCTCCTATATGAATCAAGAACATCAGACACAGATGTCTAATTATATTCTCATGTTATGTCTGTAATTTAGACAGATAGGGCTGCAGGGGGAGCTGCAGTAAGGAGAAGTAAACAAAGACGAGGATAATATAAGCAGAAGATGAGACTGAAACAGACTTTTACTGTGTTTGAGACAATGTGGAAATCCACCCATCCATTATCTATTTCACTTTTGGGGAGAAATCGGGCAAGAGGTACATGGACAGATCGCAAGTGTATTGTAGCTGGCTGTCATATAGAGGCAAACATTCACTCAGACAGACTTTCTACAAGGCGCTTACTGTACTGCAGTCTGAACAACAAATTATTACGGGTTTTTTTAAGAGACAGCCGGAACGCATGGTAAGTTAAAGGTAGAGCTGGTAAGTCGTTTCTGAAAAACCTTTTTTATCATATTTGTTGAAATTCTCTCCACGTCCTGCTCTTCATCTATAAACAAATTTGTCTGAAAAATGATTATGTCTGTGGCCCTAAAGAGAATATAATAAACAGGGCGAATCATTTCATTTGGTCTGAATTGGTCATCTGTCACTAATTGACCAGTTTGCCTGCATGCACCCTCTCTGCGCTCCCATTGCACATGAGTGTGAGTCAAGTCCCAAGTGTTTGGGGTATAGCTTTGAAAAGATGGTTGAATATTTATAGTGTACACAAAGTATAGCCCGCACTTTCAAGATTTTCCAGGATTACCAACCACAGCTTTAAAATCACTTAAAACCACGCTATTACTATCAAAACTGTGTCAGCCTTTCAAATAGTAAGTTCTTATTTAAAATGCATCCAAAGCTTGTTTGGAATCACGCTTTACCGTTCTGTGCTTGTGCTCCAGTCGGAGAAACATACCTGCATGCTAAAAAGACAGAAGATGGGAGCTGAGAAGTTAAATGTTATGGTTGTTTCCTAGGACTCTCAGCATGTGGATGCAACAACAAACTGTGTCCTACTTTGTTGCTTGTATGAACTAAAGCAGTCGTTTGCTGGTGGTTGCTGAGTCGTTGTTATGTAGTGCAGCCACATTAGTGTCATGTGAGGAGGCTGAGGGATGGTTGGGCAGTCAAAGGTCATAATGTAATCCTATGGACTGATTAGTGTATGGTCATACCCTGCTTACGCTTATAGACACACATGTGCATACTGATGGCTTCCTGACTTTGGAAACAAGTGGCAAGGGTACAGGGGGAAAAAGAAACCTACTGTGGAGCAGGGGTGATGGAGTATTAAGGAGGGAGGGGGGAGGAGAGCAGTGTTATGTGCTGGTTTTATGAAAGGTTTATGAATCATGTAATACTTAGTAGAAGGTGGAGGACAAGTTACTACATTCCCTTCTTTAACAATTATAAAAGTTACTAAGCAGGTGACTATTTTAGTCACTGAAAATGTTTAGTTAGAAATTGAAGTAACCCAGTTTTCTTTCATGCATTAGTTGCTCCCGGTACAGGACTCACAACACAACACTACAAATTTTCATAGTCAGAGGACCATAATCCATGTAAACACACCATCGCTATCTGTCTTATTGAATGCAAAATGGATTCCATCCAGGAATGCAACACTGACCAAGCCAAACATTCACAGTACACAAAGAGAAAATCAATTTACATGAGACTGGGGGAGTGGGGAGGGAGGGTGTGTGAATGGGGGAGTAAGAGTGGGGAATGAAGGGGGAGAGAGAAACTACAATGAGGAAGACGAATGACGGCGAAAGTGTGGCATGAAAGTAAGAGAAGTCGATGATTGAGTACGGAAGGTGGGGGGAGAACGAGAGAATGCAGGATGCAGAAAGGGAATGACAAGACAGAGAGAGGTCCTCTCTTATGGCCAGCAGTTAGCTGATTGATGATGATGAGAATGGCAATGGGGAGGAACAGCCACCTCTCACTGGGAGGGGAGAGTGGGCAAGGGAAGAGAGGGAGACAACAGAAAAAAAGGAGGAAGCGGAAGAAGGCAGAAGTGGCAAGAAATCTGCGTATCCACTTCATTATATCTGCCATGAAAAATGATGGCATCCTTCCCTCACATCGATCAGTGGCGCTAAATGGAAGGCAAAACAAACCCAATAAATTCCTTTTTGTAAGTAAGATGGGGCATCGGGGGGGCAGTGAGTGAGGAAGGATCTTTTTCCTCACTCTTTTCTCAGCTGCAATCAAACATAAATATCACACTTTTCTTTACATTTCATCATGTTTCTACCAACCGGATCACTTTCACCTCACTGCAAGTGATTTCTTGCCCCTGTCCCTCTTGCCACCACCCCTAACCCTGCTTTGCTGTTTCAAGCTCTCTTAACCCTGTTTCTCTCTCTCTCTCTCTCAGTCCTGCTCATGAATCTGTCTCATCTCTCTGTTTCTTCCTCTGTCCAGAGTGGGGTGGCCACCTGGACTATTAATCACAGCTGGCCAGCGTGGACAGCAAAGCTCACACAGTGTTACCCTGCGCACCCTGCCTGCATTAGCAAGCCCTGTAAATCTGTCTAGAAGAGAGGAGAGAAGAGGGTTTTGGTTTTCAAAATCCATTTATTGTACATTTCCTGGAAGAAAAAACTTTGTAAAGTGCTCCCAGCCGAGGAGGACATTGAACAAATGAATGTAGTGTTAGTGTTTTAACTTGAGAACTGAAAGTGCAACCCTCCCCCAGCTACGGATCAAGGTGCGCTTTGTATCTATTTGTAGCTATTGCCCCATGCACAACCCTCCACTTGAGGTCTGCTGTCCGTTTTTCAATGGGTAGCTTATACATGGACTGCCAGCTCCCTTTCAGAGAAGCGTCTGCTCCAAAAGCCCAGTCCACCTTGACTTTCTCATCCCTTTCAGTGAGTGCACATTCTGAACCTTTACACTTTACACTCTGAAAATTGTCAAGGTGAGGAGTTGAGAAAGACAGCAGCTGACTCCTGTCACTCCCCTACAGTTGGGCTGATGGACAGGGAGGGGAAACTGTATTCCGGTTCTTCACTACACTGGTCACACTGAACGTGATTTTCTGCAAACACTCTCAGGGTTTGTGGCAGGGCGGCACAGACTTCCTCCAACACTCTATTGATCAGTCTGGTGGATGTGATGTTGCTGTTTTTCCTCAGGGAGTCCAAAGATGATGCCATCATCCTTATCAGATGGCCCAATTTGGTGTAGCGAGCTCATCTGAGGTTCTCTATGAGACTGGCAGACTACAGTATTTCAGTCCTCACAAAGTCGTTAAAGACAATAGATTCCTCAAAACAACCACAATCCAGGTGTCACAATTCTCGTGTGAAACTAAATGTCTGCAATGCATGAAGTCGTAATGCAGCAATTTTGGACTGGATGTCTATTAGACCTTGCCCATCTTCAACAGGCAGATAGAGGACTGCTGCCTCAACCCAGTGTTTACCAGACCAGAAAAAAATATAGTATGGCTCCTTGAATATCCTCTTGGCCTTGTCACAGAAGTCTGTGCCAGAGCGTCAAGGTGACCAAGCTGTCGGCAACCAAAGCTCTTCCCCTTTATGACAGCAGGGGTAGCAACCATTTTCATTTAGACAACCGACGCACACTTTCTCTTTCATTCCCACCCAGTTTTTTGTTAAAAACCATTTAGTTCCAAAAAAGACACCCAAAACAAAGCCTCATTCTTGTCCTAGTTCTAACGTGCAGAGGAAGCATTTAAATACAATGAAAATGTTTTGTGTAAAATCTGTTCATCGCCTTGATTAGAGACATTTACATCATTTACATAGGCAGAAACAGTGAGGGAACAATCAGGTTCTAAGAACCCAGGCAGTGAGAGACCACTGAGTCTACCTCTTAACCTGCACAGCAAGGGCTCGATATCCAGACTATATAGCTGCCCAGAAATGGGACAGCCTTGTCTTATCCCTCACTGTACAGGGACTGGTCGACTCAGCCCTGTCCCCATCTTTACCATGCATTGAGCACCGTTATGTAGTAGACCAAGCTATGCCAGAAAACCATCACCTAAACCGAAAGCTCTTAATGTAGAAAATAAATAATAGCGATCCACCCAAAACTAAAGGGACAATTCCACAATCAGGAAAAGCAACAGGCCTCCAGTTTTAAGTAAGGCTAAATCTCCTTTCTTCGGAAATGACAGCTCGCTGACAGGAAACAGGAAGTGATCCTGTTCTAAGGCACTCCAATAAGGTACCATGCAAGTCAGCACCAATGATGTTCCAGAACCTCCTCAGGAATTCACTGCAGAGACCATCGATTCCTGGTGCTAGTCCTGATGACATCTAGTTAACAGCATCTGTCAACTTCTCTAGAGTCAGCTCAGAGTCCAAAAAGGTTTTCCCCTCAAGGCTAAGTTGCGGTAGTCCCTGCGGCTGCTCCTCACGGCATTCC